CTTCTGTTTTCGCCTCAAATCGTCATTTGGTTTGTAATGCAATCTGTTTCAGAGGCGAAACCTGCACATGGCGACAATTCCAGTTCTGAAGCTAAAGTGGTTGGACCTTCCTGCTTTTTGGTCATTTTTTACAAGTTGGTGCTCGCATGCCTAATCAGGGAAACCACAATGCCTTGATGCGACCTCACCGCGCCCTTGCATGTTTTTTGCAATTGACGCGTGAATTGATCGATGGTGGCATGAGACAGCTGTTCAATGAAACGAACATTTTGCTGACAGGGATGGACAACATGAAAGGAGCCATAAATGCGCACTTCAAGAAGATGTCGCAGTTCATCGCAGACAGCAACTATTCACATACCAAAAGATGGATGACATTTCAGAGGAAAACAATCACAGAATCACCAAAGTCATCGACAGGCTGATCCGCATGGAGTACAAGCAAGAGAAGCAAGAAGTCAGAACCTTGCAGAAGAGACAAGATGGAAGAGAAGCGCCCGGGACTCCAACAGAATCCGAGGTGATGAGCATCCTGGATGCACCAGAACCGCCGGAGCTCTATCTTGGAGAAGGTGACGGTAGACTGGCACCTCATGAAGATGAACGGATGGAAGAAGAAGATGATGAACCTGAAACAACAAAGTTGATGAAGAACTGGGGAGGTCCTCTGTGGCAGGACCGGTTTTTGCTAGGGTTTTTGGACCCAAACTGGTGTCCAGAAAAATAACTTTTTTCGATCCCTTGAAGGAGCAAAAAGTTTGGAAAACCTGTGAGGGTTGAGAATTGCTGGGGAGAAAGCGTTTGGCCTGTTTGATGTTCTTGATCGAAAGCAATCAAGCTTACGGATCAATGGTCACTGCTTTTTTCGGCAGTCTGATTGAAGCCTTGCACGCTTAACGCGTGTTTGTTTGCTACAAGCTTGTGGTGGACATCCGCCGTGAGTCGACCTAGCACCCTGAGACCAACCGTTGTGAACCCATTCTTTGTATTTTTGTGGTCTGTCTAATTTTGGATGAGAGGAAAGAAGGGTGGGAAGATGTTAAGGGAAGGTTTGGCGCCGTGGAGCCTGTCATCTTTGCGTATGTTCACAGGAGCCATCTCTGGTCATTCACTGTGGCAAGGAAACCTTGTTTCGTTTTGTTTGACGTTGTTGTTCGGTGCATGTTGTGAAGGAGGGTGTTTTGAAAAGATATTATTGTTGAGGTTTTGAGCTCGCGTCCTTGATGTTTGTTGCAAGCTATGCCAGGCTTCCGTCTATTACAGTGCGCGATACCACCTCGGTACCACTTCATTACGGCTCGGGCCCTTTATTACAATGCGCGGTACCCTCGGGCCCTCTGTTACAATGCGCGGTGCCGCCTCGGTACTGCTCGGACCCTCTATTACAATGCGCGGTGCTGCCTCGGTTCCGCTCGGGCCCTCCATTACAATGCGCGGTGCCGCCTCGGTACCGCTCGGGCCCTCCATTACAATGCGCCGCTCGGGCCCTCCATTGCAATGCGCGGTGCCGCCTCGGTACCGCTCGGGCCCTCTATTACAATGCGCGGTTCCGCCTCGGCACCGCTTCGGTACCGCTCGGGCCCTCTAATGCGCGGTACCGACACCCCGTTTGGGTTTTACAAATTTTTAATTGGATCGGAGTGAGGAACTTCCAAGAAAACACAAAGACCAACGGAAAGCCACGAAACGCAACCTTAACATTGTAGTTCCGGCACTTCTTCAAACGGGGCGCTCCACACTTGCGCCAAGGCATTCCAAGTGTACTTCGCGCTCAACCATTCTTTTTGGTTGGTCGGTTGCTTGTCGTTTGTTGGTTTAGGTGAACATGAAAAGGTTGGCTTTGCGTAAGTCTGTTGGATGTTGTTTGGTTCTTGGTTGCAGGTTTGGGTAGAGGACCTCGGTTGGAGAACAAGTTTTGTTTGCCCGGGGAATATGCGCGTGTGTGGCCATTGGGCCGGAGATTGGTGTTCACCGTGTATTGGCGCAGGTTTTGACACGTTAACTTTCCAATCGATGATTGTCCACTTCTTTGTGGCACTTGCCCAAAAAAATTGCCCACGGGCCCTCGCTTCCACCACAAGCAGGTCGGACTGGAGACCACTGGAGACCACTAGTATCCAAAAGCAGGCAAACTTGTTTTATTCTATAAATAAATTCTATTCTCCCACAGCGTGATTGCAGGACCCGTGCTCTCTCCCTGCAGTTTCCACCAGCTGACTGATCAGGAACAATGTGAAGCGGCCAAGCGGATCACGACGCGCGCGAAAATCTTGTCCGTTGACGGCCCCAAAACCAAGCGCCAAAAGTGCAGTGGATTCCAGGGTCGCCAAAGTGGGCCTCCCCAGTTCAAGAACATGTGTGGGCATAAACGTTCGCAGGGCGTGGAGAACAATTGCTCGCGGCGCTGCAAAACCATGGGAACCCAGTGGCGCAGCGTCTGTCGCGTACCGGCGGAAACAATCGAAACTTGCACTATTTTTCGACCGGCGGCAAAAATTTTGCCGACAAACGGCCCCCGTTTTGGGGTCCAGAAACGGACCCCAAAACGGGGGCCAAGTCGTCCGGACACAAGCAAATCAAATTGAGACTGAATGAGTGGCCTCCATTTTGGGGTCCGTTTCTGGACACCAAAACGGGGGCCGTTTTGTCGGCAAAATTTTAGTCGCCGGGAAAAAATGCAAGAGTTTCGATTGTTTCTGCACGTACGCGACAGAAGTTTTCCATGCCGCTGCTTTTCCATGGTTTTGCAGCGCCGCAGGCACTTGTTCTCCACACCCTGCGAACATTTATGGCCACACATGTTCTTGAACAGAACAACACGATCACACAAGAGCTGTGGGAGCAGTCGACGACAAAGGAAAGAAGAAATTTCTTGCTGATGGTAATGCTGGAAGCTGTATGCATGTATGGTGATGATGAGATCAGGAATGACATCATGCAACAGATGCAAATCCTGGCAAGTGAAGTCAATGAAGAAGCGGTGAGAAGAATGGCAGGAGCAAGCAGCTCACAGCATCAGCAGGCAATGGCAGTGGAAAACGAGACACAGAATGTCGAGGAATGTGAAGAAGCTGGGTCATGACAGCACATGTCTGTTTTCCACTCCTGGCAGGTGTATCAACATGGTACATCCCGCGGGCCATAACGGCTCGAATCCCTGAGGCCTTGAGCTCCTTGTGCGCGCGGTTGCAAAACCGTGGCACTTAGTGCACTTGACAATATATATATATGTATAATATTGACATCTATATGCATCTATGTATCCTCACGAAAGCCTGCCGATAGCCTCGCCCATGGGCCCCCCACAGGCATCTTTGCGCATTGTTTGGCAACATGCAGCAGGCAATCGCCCCTCACTTCCTTAGGGGCGCCCTTTTTCACCTCCAAAAGGCGCCTAAGCCAGGACGAAAAAGGGTACCCCCCAAAACCTATGTATTTACTTTCTTTTTCTATCCCCTATCGGGGTGGCTGCGATGTCAACTTCACCCCATCAAGGTGCTCTTTGCCCGATGTTAGCCAATCATGTGATCCTGCACGCCAAGTCCCTGAGTTCCTGGCCCCTTTTCAGCTTCAAACCGCCCTTGAATCGAGCGAAAAAAGGGCACCCCCCTAACCAATGCATTCTGCTTTCCATTTCCAACAGCAGTAGCATCACTGCTATGTCGACATCCCCCCATAGCACGACAATCTCTCCCCCGGTCCTCACCTGATTTCAGCAGTAAACTTTCCTCGGTCCGCTCTTAGCAGCGCCAATCTGCAACACAAGACAAAGCAACAGCACGCCAAAACCCCTCCGTTACTTAGGAGGTCCTTTTTTATCTTCACAACGCCCCTTGAGCAACAAGAGGAGGGGCACCCCACTCCCCCACCTTTACTACGACTCTCCACCTCTGCCTTTTATTTTCTCATTCTTGAGACTGTTCCGGTGTGCTCTCGACTTCACCCCCCATTCCCATGTTGATGTCTTCTTACAGAGGCTGGCTTTCGCCCTCTCTTTTCTCAGGTAGATTCCATTTGTAAAGAGGGTGGACTGTGAACTCAAACTCGTTCAAGTCCAAGGCAGAATCTGAATTTTTTTTGCACTCCTGTATACGTACATTTAGACATCTGTAGATGTAGCATGTACAGTACAAGCAGATTTGTTGTGGGTGACATCATGTTTGCCACTGCGCAACGTGGGCTAGTGGCTACAAAGGGTGGGACATGGGTCATTCGTGACATGTCCCACAATGTTCCTCTCACTGAACGCCTCCTCTCGTCTCATGACTGTGCAGCCATCACCGATTGTTTACACAGCCTTCCAATGTTTCCTTCCAATGTTTCTTTGCTTTGACACGCACGCCTGCACTCTCAAGCCTGTAACTTTTTTTTGGTTTCCGATGGAGTCATACATAGCAAAAGTTATGGAGGAACAACCATCTTGCGAATTATAAAGATTGTGTACATTGTTGTCGTCGAACTGTTGGATTACTGCACTTTACCGATGTGCACAAGTTTTTCGGGCTCGGAAATGCAAAGGCGGCACTTGGCAGTTCGATTTGCAGACCTGCAATCGGGGATGGAAAGGGCACAGGACCGAGGACACTCCCCTTGTATACGATGAAAAAGATGTGTGTCACACGTGTGTTGAAAGACAAACAAAACAAACGGCCATGTGAGACTTTGAAGAGCACACCATAGTCGTGCCATGGTTTGTACAGTTGGAGTCCAAAATGTACGAACCATAAATTTGAACTCAACGAATTCCTTCGTTGATCGGCAGAGACGTTGGTGAAACCGAAAAGCACGATCAGCGGCTTGAAACGATCAGTTTTTATGTTTCGATTTTCTTTAAATTTGTCAGCTTTGACGACCTGGTAAGAACTGGCAAACAGAAGGAATTGGTCCCAGTAAGTGCACATTTCAGAAGTAACAGTAACCTGATATTCATTTCCTGTTGTGCAACCTTCGTACCCACACATTGGATGGAACAAAACATTTTCTTAGTCGAAGCACAACGTAAGGTCTATGGTTCAAGATACAGCCTGAGATGAAATCCCGCGTCCATGGCTGAACCGCATGACGTTCCATATTCTACTGCTTAGCTGGCAGCTGGCATCAGCTTTGGAAGTGTCTCGGATGTATTCAAACTCGCGTGGAGCAGAGCAAATGACACGGACATAGAACATCAAATTAAATTATCGGGCAATTTGTCGATATTTAAGGCTTCACCATCAGTTTCCTAAAGAGTATTATAGCATGATCACAGAGTATTGTAGCATTTATAGCTGCATGGAGCCATCTATGCATGCATCTATAGGTTGCAGGAGGCGTCCCTAGTTGGAGCGGAGTGAAATTCATTGTGAGCTTTAGTTATATAAACTTATGAAGAAGTTGCAGGTCGTGTTAGAGGAAAAAGGGGCAAGCTTCATCATCATTTTATCGGACAATTTGTCAGACAATTTGTTGCATGTGCAGCTTAAAATGATGAAGCGTTTGATTGAAATGGTTAGATTACTTCGCCACTTTAAGTGAAAAAAAACAGAACATATGAGGGAACTTTAACTTCGTCTACATTTTGCAACAACAGAACATTGTGCCAACATCTTTTCTTGCCAACCTCGGATTGTTTGGCAGACCCTTTGGGACGAAGAGAATCACAATCTCAGACGGACAGTGCCAGCACAGCAGTTGTGATTGAGCTCGCTGACAGTCGCCCGTCGCCGTCATGCCATCATTGTCCCTCACCTGGCGCCTTTTTTGAACGGTAGCGTCCCACAAACGGTCGCAGAGTATCCCACTTGGCGCAATCAAGCATTCTTGAGCACCCACCTGCACAGTGCTATTCATTCGTCGCGTGTTCTGTGGTCCGGTGACTGTATCCGGCCGTTCGTTTCTTGTGTTCAGTCCGTCCGATGCTCAGTCCGACCAGGAGCCGTTAAGGAGTTTCGTTGTTTCAACCTGACCTTGTTTGATCCGACCGCCGCGTTGACCGCGTCTGGACCGGGGACAGCCTGAGCGCGGAGCGAACGTGGAGAAGAGGTCTTGGATGTGGGCGCCTCACGCACTGGCACACAGTCCTTGCGTGCAGCTCTAGATCTCTTGGGTTTCTTGGCCCACATAATTTTTTTAGTTCCACCAGCTCATGTTTGGTACGGACGCGAACGCAAATTTGGCATCAAGGAATTCCTTTTTGCTCAAAGACTCTGTGATGCCAAATTGGCTTTCTGACCTCTGAAGGGGGTCGTTATCAGAGGTCAACAATTAGGCCACCACGGAATCTGCCTTGTCTCAGAGGTGTGACCCCGATGGTCTCGGGGTCCCACCTTCGGGTGTTTGCTCACCCGACTGCGAATGGAGGTTTTGGTGAAGGCCAGTTTGGTGTGTAGAGAAAGAGGAAGTCGAGGGTACGAAGCCTCTTCCCAGTGAAGCTGCTAGGGGAAAAGCAGGTTTAGCAATTTCTTTGGTCTTTAAATTGTTCAAAAAGGGGTTGACCTGGTCTTGCAGTCCAGAATTTGCATTGAAACAACAGTTGTTCCGTATACCATTCAACCAATTCTGCTTCCGGAGGCTACAAGACTCTGCATTCCGGCTATGCGACCCGGCCAGTGGGAAGAAATTTGGGAGCGGATTTACTTGTCTTCTGCGTGTTCGGTTGGACTGCCCGTGTGACAGCCGAGGATCCTGGGAGCCGTGAGGCATCATGTGAGTATTTGTTTGGCAACGGGACAGTAGAAGCTGCGATGAAATCCTTGGACGGATACGATGCCTGGCAGAAAGAAATGCTGGTGGGAAGGGAGGCGGAAGGGAGAAGGAACACAACTTGTAGCCCGGAGCGTCCTCCTGAGTGGGGTCCAGTGGCTCGAGGAATTTCGGTCATGGTGTGCAACTGCCGAGGAAGAAACAAAGATTGAGACAGCTTTCTGTTTTGATCAGGTTCCTGCATTTTGTGCACCGAATAGAAGACTGATGGCGGAGAAACAATGCAGCCACAGCATGACCAAGATAGTGCTGAGGAAAAACCAGCGAAATGCACACGAGAAGCCAGCATTTTTGCACGAGAATGCAACATATGTGGTAGCCAAAGCTTTCAGCCTGGGACATGCAGCGGATGAAATGACACTGGTCCGTCCACTTCGTTTCGGGGTGCCGAGGATGCTGCCATGGATGAACCGTTCCATCTCCTGTACCGAGAGGTGATGGCAACTTTCCCAGTTTCCTGGATGGGAAACAAAAGCGCATGAAGAAACCAAACAGGGTTGGACTTTTCGTATGGCACATGTCCAAGAGAACAAAGTTCGTGCGTTCGTTGTGTTTGTTGCTTCCTTGAGGAGTCCAAGTTCGTTTACCCTGCTGTGGATCCGGAGATGTGGTTTGCCTCCTATGACAAGCTCATCTCAGCACCTGGGCAGAAACGAGAAACACTGGTCCTAGGGAGTCACTTGGTCCACTTGGACTCCTTTTTGTTGATTTTGCGACGTGTGCAAGTGGAGTTGGTGACCTGGGTCAGGTCAGCGGAACCTTTCAAGTTGGATATCCGTGCAAAGCGGATAGGTATAGCGGTTATGGTATACTTATTGCTCTTCTTGATCTTAATGTAAACCTTTGGGGTCTAACCAAAGTTAGATCTGCCTTGGTGCAAACCAACGTGCAGGTCATGTCTTGTCAATCCCTGCTGACCTTCCGAGCTGGTTCACTCAGGAAATCAACACCTTTTTCAGATCGACCAACAAGATGCTGAGAGGCCTCAAGCGAGGACTCCATGTGGATCTGGGCCCCTTCGATCCAGATCACCTGAAGAACTTTGGAAGATCAACGTTGGACAAGGATCCTCAGTTCAATTGATGGCAGAATCTAGAGGATTTGCCGGATTTGCTGAGTTTGTATTTTGTGGCAAATTTGACCGTACCAAGCATGCTGAGACGGTCCGGGACATATTGGTCAACATTTGACCAGAGAAGGATGATCAGGGCGCAGCGCCACCATTGCGTTTCTTCAATCAAAGAAGACTCCAAGGCATGTGATAAATGCCACTCCTGGGGCTGCCGCTTTGGTCATAGTGATGCACAAGACTCGAAGCAGCAATGTATCTGATCTAGATGAAATGTTGTGGGAGTTCAGAGTCTCAATCGATCATCGAATTCTCCTCTATTGACAGACTGGAGTTCTCACCTCTCTCAATACCTCGGAATGTCGTGATGAAAAGAAGTGATGAAAGAACGTCTCGCTTTCGTGGTCTCATTTGTTTTCTGAGGAAACGTTCTAGTCCCGATTTTTAAATTCACTGTTTTTGCACGTTCTCAGGTATCCAATCTTATCGGAAGCACCTGCAGAATCTGACGCAGGCAATTCCGAAAGATCGATTGCTCATTTTCAATATGAGCGACGGATGGGCGCCTCTTTGCAACTTCTTAGGAAAATCGATTCCAAAGCAGCCCTTTCCGCATGTCGACATCTTCCAGTCTTCCTTTGACATCTTGGAAAAGGCTAGCTCGTTTGTGCAAAAGTCAGCTCAGTGGAAGCCATACGAGCTCTGAGCGAATCGAGCAACAGAAATGAGATGTATGCTTAACCAATCCGACCTGATAGTGTAATGAGTCAAGTTGTTGTTTGTACCAAAACACCCACCCCAGAGACTGGACTACTCAGGTGAACTACTATCCACAACCAGAGAGATAGACCCCATACAACGACTTTCCATGACTTTTCCTTCGGGGTCGAATGCATGTATCTTCGTAGGGTTGCAAAGTGCCAGTGATGCCAGTGATGCCAACTGGATCGCTGATCGACCACTTCGCTGGTCGCTGGATCGCTGGATCGATGTTTGGACAGAAAGTGCAGACAGCTTCGTGTGTGGACCCGCGTGACCCGCAAAAGTGCAGCGAGGTTCCTGCTTTTTGGCAGGTAGAGGCCGGGAAACAGCCAAGACTGCTGTTGCAAAGCGGTATCACCAGCCACCGTTGAGTGTTGATGGTAATACATATGCAGTTGAAAGGTAACAGCATGGGGTACGCAGGAAACGACCGTAAAGCTACGGAATGTTTCGAGGCACCCCGGGCACCCGGGGCAAGCAGTCGGGGTTTGTGCCATTTCGCACAACTCCATGTGGACTCTCCCGAACCGAACACCGATTCGTCTCCGCAAGATCGCCGATTCGTCTCAGAAATCGGAGATGGGTGGGACTTCCGCCCCGTTCTGACAGAGTGTGGTATTTCACGTTCTTGGTATCTAGCCTGGCAGCAGACAGGGAACACATGGGAGAACATCGATATGAAAGGTTGTTGTTGGCAGAGCCAAATGCAAATGCTTTGAGCATGTCGCTGTTGGCTGAGACTCGGAAGAATCAAAGTCGTATATATGTTGTGAAGTTGACAAACCAGGTATTTGAGAGTTCATGCAACACCAGTGCACCTGTGGTCATGTGGAACATGACACGTTCACGTGGATGAACCATGTCGGTTCGAATCCTTGTTAGGCCTTGAGCCCGACCGACGCGAGCGAAAAGGTTTGCTCGTGAGGGTTCACGAACTTGACACTGGTAGCGGAGCCACAAGTGCTCCTTTAGGTGTGCCATCGTCGCCCGCGCGTTGACCCCTATTGGAGCTGGGATTTGGACATTTGTTTGTTGCCGTATAGAGCTCGAACATTGTTCTTGGGCTGGCAGGCTGAGGATCAGTTGAGGGAACTATTACACCGGAATCCGTTTCTCGAGTGTTGGTGAACTTGGCCCCGAAGCAGTTGCCGGAAATTCAGGTGTTTGCAAGTTTTGACAGCTCGCAGCTTCACAGGTGCAAGGATTTTCTTGTTGACATTTTGTTGACAATACAATTACAACAGAGTGACCAATCATTGTATGTGGATCCAAACTCCAATGTGGTGCACTACGATGGCAACCCCAAGCTGGCAGAGGAGTATGAAGAACGTGTTTGGCTGGGTTTTCAAAATGTTCAGAAAGATGAGAAGACAAGCTATGCTGCCAAGCTGAGGAATACTCTCCATGGAAGGGCTTGGACTCTATGCCACCGAAGCCTGAGATTGCAGCCCAGAAGTTGCTCCAGATCAGCGAAGCTGAACCACCCGCAAAAGCTGGACCGAAAGCGGCATACAGCTGGTGGTGAGGACACTCCGAGCTGCATGTGAGAAGGTAGCACCACTCCTCAAGACCCAGACCTTTGAGGACTATTTCTTCGAGAAAGGTCGCAGGCGATTGGGTGAAAGTATTCAGGACTACATCAGTCGACGAGAAGGTGAATATGAGAAGCTGACACAAGGACATACAAAGTTGTCGACAGATCTTCAGGCCTTCTTTCTGCTGCGCAATGCTGGAGTGAGTCCCTCACAACATCGAGCCATCCTCGGACAAGCTGGTAATGAGTATTTGATTGGGACAAGATCGTGGAAGCTATGCTCATCCAGTTAGATGGTGGTGAGGAACCTCAGAGCAAAGGATGGAAGGGCAATTACAAGGCCTGTCAGCAGAGCAATTACAACCCAGGTGGCAAGCGCTCATGGGCTTTTCCTATCGAAGAGGAATGGTCAAGCTATGATGGTGAGACCGAAGAGATCTATGCAGTTGATGACTGGCAAGAAGAACAGGTGGAGGAAGATATACCTGTTTATGAGATTGAGGAGGACATCCAGTACGACATTGAAGAGATGGAGCATGCCATCGAGGTCATGACGGTGGAGGACCTTTCTTTGGAAGAGTTGGAGGTCTTTGCAGCAACCATCCAAAAGATGGGCAAGGGAGCTTCAGAATATGCTCGGAAGAGGCAGGCAGTCCGTGATGGCAAGGTAAACAGAGGATTTCAACCGAGTGCCATTGGACACAACCGGACAGCCATTGCCCTAGATGGTAAGTTGACCCTCAACGCTGGTCAGTTGCAGGACAAGCTACGACAGATCAAAGCAAGGACGCAATGCGATGACTGTGGACAGAAGGGACATTGGCATGGAGACAGGATCATCCTCATCGAGTTCGAAAGGTGGGAAGAAGGGCTATGGAAAGAAAGGTGGTCGCAAAGGTGGATTCCTTCAGCGAGCTTCAGGACAGCTGCTTTCCTCATGTCAGGATGCCCTGATGTGTTTGGGAATGAGTGGACTGGAGGAAGATTGCGACCCATGCGCCTATGAGGTGATTCCCCACATGATGGACGATGAGTTTGAGGCATTTCACGACGAACGACATTGAGGCACCATTCCCCACAGCCTGACCTTTATGGCCAACGCAAGCCATGAGACCGTCCCTGCTGGTATGTGTGTTGTTGACACGGCTGCATTGATCGGTTGTGGAGGAGACAGGACATTGGACAAGTTCATTGGCAAGTTTGTAAGTGACACCTTTCTACAACTGTCCAACAAGGTGCTGAAGGGTGTCAACGCTGATGCTCCAGTTGTGGTGCAACACCAACAGTGGATTGACATCAACATTGCTGGACAGAAGGGGCAGAGTCGCATTGCATAGGCATAGGCTCCCCAACTCAGATGTGCCACTTCTACTTGGTCTTCCCCAACTGCGAGAGCTTGGTGCAGTGATTGATCTCACAGCGATGCCAGAGCCCACAATCCAGTTTTCTGCGATTGGGTCCGAGAAGGTCACTATGGGGTATGGCTCAGGTGGCCATTTGCTCTTGGACATTGGGCGTGATAGCGGCAAGAAGAAGGAGACTCGATTTCCTGGTGAGACCATTGAGGTTTTCCATGAATTGAAAGCTAAGGACTTCAACATTGAAACCACCCGCATTATGAAGAGCAAGTTGAGGAATAAGTTCAAAAGATGGCTGATGAGGCAAAAGACCATGGCCGTGCCCTATGGAAAGAACTCAGAAAGGGGGCAAAATCGCATGTGAAAAGAGTGTTGGTGAAGGAACTTTATAGTGGGAGCGATGGTGGAGTTATAGTGATCGCCAAGGACAACGACATGAGCTTCGGCAAGCCTCGAGACCTTTTGCTGGGGGATAATTTCCTCAAGAAGGAAGATCGCCGAGCTGTCCTGGAGGAGATCCGCATTGAGAAGCCAAGCCTTGTGACCATGGGATTCAATTGCGACCCATGGACACCACTGAGCAACTTTCTAGATGAAGAAGTCTGAAGGATGCAACAGGAAGTCGCCTTGGATCATCTGGAATTTGTGAAGGAGGTTTGTGAGCTTCAGGTTGCAGGTGGAAGACGCTACTTGCTCGAGAACCCCCTCTCAGTTTGGAAGCGCATGTTGGAGAAGTTTGAGCGTGTTCCTCACTACACTTCACGCATGGATCAGTGCGAGAGTGATCTGAAGGATGTCAACAGTGACTATGTCATGAAGCCAACGAGGTTTGTGACCTCATCTCTGGTACTTCAACCTTGAGTCTTCGGTGCAGTGGAGATCATGATCATGTCCAGATACAAGGCCGGGGGCAGAGAGATGGACACAACATCTCAAGCTTGCTGGGACAATGGACACCGCAGCTGGGCGTCATGAACCTTGATGGAATTCAGAGGCAGGTGCTGCTGGAGGAACAATGTGGTGAGGTGAAGTACTACTTGGACGAGGCTGATGTGTACCACAATGCCCTCCAGAGAAGCTCAGATGTGATGTTCCGGAAAAGAGAGGAAGAGGAACTTCAAGCGTGGGAGGAAGTTCCCGCACTGCTGCGAAGTGCGATTGCAAAGGTACATCGACAATACTCTCACTCTCTCTACAAAAAGAACTTCAGCCACCACCTCAGACTTGCAGGTGCTTCGGATCGTGCAATCAAAGCAGCAAGTTTGTTCTCATGCCCAACATGTGAGAAGGAAAGAAGAAGTCTGGCCAGACCGACAGCAGCGGTGCCCAATTACACCCATTTCAACCAATGTGTGGCCATAGACATTGCTCACATACCAGATCAGGAAGATGTGATGCATTCCTTTTTGATGATGGTGGATATGGCCACATCCTACACCCTCGCATCATACCTGTGCTCAGGTGAAAGTCCTCCTGATGAGCCTCTTAAGCAAGTGCTCATCGGGAAGTGCCCAGAGGCTGTAAGCACTGACATCCATGTGGCCTTGCAGAGCACGTGGCAAAGGGAGATTGTCGCCGCAAGCTGCGGGCACTTTGTAGGATCACATGCCGAGCCAAAGCCGCGATAGTGCTTGTGCTGTTTCCAATAGCACGTCCTGCATTCAACTGGGGAGTCAGAAATTGTTGCAACGTTCTATTTGCCAACAGCTGAGTTGTGTGTCAATCGCAGGCACATAGGCAAAGAAAGAGAACTCCGTTGCAGCAACATTAGGAGCCTGGAGTGTGCTCGAGCTCATCATCCATATTTTCGCGAGCCTTCAGCTGCAAACCACGATACATTTTTGTGTACCTTTTCAGGGCAGGTGCAGGCGCAACACGGCTGGAGCCTTTGTTTGCTCTCGTCTCTGCCTCCGATGTGCAGCTGCAGCTCTTGGTCAGGTCGGTCAGTCTTCAGTCTTGCATAAGCTCGGGCGGAATGCCCGCAGCCATGAAGGAGCTGTGGTGTGTTACTTGTAGAGCCAATGGAGTTCTCAATCGGCTTCAACGGCATATGCGACGTCGTTTCAAGCCTTTGCAAAAGAACTGGATAAGCGGAAACGAGTGTTGGTCAGGGTGAAGTGCCACTTCTTTCTATTTCTCAGCACAAGCCACGCCTCCCAAAATTAACGATGAATGATCATCTATTGCCATATTTCAGTTTCATATTTTGTAGAGTCAGACTTTTTTCATTTATTTTTGAGGTGTGCCTACGCGGAGTGGATTCATCTAGTCAGCCCAAAAACCAAGACTCTACCATAGTCATGCCAATCGAATCCACACATGAACAGGAGCTTTCAGGGTCGGGTTTCCATTGATTTACCTTTATCGGCGGAGACGCTGAACTCAAAAAGATACGTTTATTGCCAAAACCCCTAGTAGCGTCCTTGCTCCTAGTAGCGATGCCAGGAGCCCCTAGCAGCATCCTTGCTCCTAGTAGTAAGGCCAGGAGCCTAGTAGCGTCCTTGCTGTGCGCGGGGAATGGAACAACCGTTTGACGAGCTGTTCATGATCAAGACCGAGTATGACGTTCGGTTGACTGGGTGGGGGGGTAGTAATGAGATGCAGTTCACCAGGGCGGGGGTGAGGCTGCCAGCTCTAGTACAACAGTTTCTCTGGATCTATGACTCACGGAGAGACAGGTCCACATGAGTGAGTGAGTGAGTAAGTGAGTGAGTGCGAACAAATGAGCTCTGTCTCAGAGCAGAATGCCGTGGCAACACGTGGATATCTTGAGCCAATGTTAATGGCTTATGCCGCACAAGCGTGTGAAGTGATATCCATTGCGTAAGAATGCGTAAGAGCACATAACGGTGACCCATATGGAAACAACGAGAGGGGGCCCTGAAAAAAATCAGAAGCAGGGGGCGGGCGGGGGTAGTGACATTTGGCAGGATCAGCAACGCTCACACTTCATGAAGTATTCTGAACTTCATGCACTTGTCTTTGTTTCATGAGCATCATCTTCACCTTTGCGTCAACAGCAAGCTTGGTGTACACAACTCATGGATTGGCTTGAGGACCATGAAATCCGTGCTTCCAATCAACAACGACACTCGACGGCTGAGTGTAGACCATCGTCCACCATCAGAGCTTGGATATAATGTGGTGTGGAAACAGGAGCATGTCACATGTGGAAAGTTGCTCGAGAAAGAGCTCGGCTCAGTCTTGCAGAGACACTGAAAAGAAGTGGGCCCGTGGAAGCTAGAGAAAAGAGGGAACACGTTTCGAAAATCTATGTTTTGTGAAAATCGCGATTTCGCTGCAACGAAATCAACTTCACTTACCTTTTGCGTGTGCCTGGCCCGCAATTTCATGGACACAAATTATATAGCTTCAAGGTGCGGGTTTCGGTCATTTTGCGCGTGTTAAATGCACACTGCACTACCTCTCCCAGCGCTCCTGAGGCGGCGCAACGTTTTGAGGAACCTACTGGCGATGGCCTCCACCTACTAGCAATGGCCTCCTCCAACCTCCTAGCGATGATAGAAAGATTCTTTGGCTGAGTTTTTCTGTTTATAGGAGTCTATGGCAAGTCGATGAAAACTTTACTGCCACCTCTGATCGTTTGGAGCTGCAGTTTCGCATGGCCATTTGCTTCTGCTCAAGCTCGGGACCGGGGCTAGGAAAAGGCAAGGCAATGCCACCAAAGCTGGGACCTCAGGATGTAAGACAAACTGTGGCCACTGTCCGACTGGCCGAGTGAGAATCCCGATGTGAAACTGGCTGTGACTGGGTGCGTGTTGAGGTGGAAGAATTCCGGTCAGGGGAATGATGACTGGCAGGAGGACTGACTGAATCACATTGGTTTGCTTGGGCAAGAAGCCACCTGACATGCCCATTGGCGGTAAAGAGGAAACTGCCTGAAAGCTGGGGTTGGCTAGTTTCGGAAGTATGCACTAAAAGAGACGATCAGGTGTGTAGACAGTGGAGCCCATAATCATTCCAACCAACCCCTTCAACTCCGGGTTGACTGGGGAAGCAGAAAACTCCGTTCATTCTGCGGTCATGACAGACCATAGCAGACATGTAGGGCAGTTGGCGAGTACGCAGGTTCGTAAACATTGAGCACGAACAACTTCGTAAATATCACAAAAAGCATCACACTTTATATTCACAACAATACAAACACACTTCGATTCTTCATTTTTCTTAATTTTTTGTGTCTCAAGATGGTCCGACCTACGCACTCCTTAGCTGGACCCTTTCGCCTCTGGCACCATGAAGCCAGGACTTCCTGTCAGCTGCTGTCACCCAGGCTGACGATTAGGACACCTAGACCTTCAAATCGTGATCATTCTTCAATCCTTCAGCACCATGAACATCCTTTGGAGATTCTTTGGAGGGTTTCACCCAAAAGTGAACATCGGTCATCGGTCCTCTTCTTTTTTTTTGGGACGTGGAAGAGGGAAGCAGCTTGGAATATGTCAAAGCGCTGAGGCGCATTCCTTGTGAAGGCCTTGTTTTAGGTGGACTCCTTGGGGCTTCCATTTGAGCTCTTTTCACCCCAAAAAGCTCACTGTCGACCGTTACTGTGAACGACCTCCATCCGCCAGGCTTTGGAGCCTATCCTCACACAGGAGACGGAGTGGGACCAAGCCAAGCTGGAGAAGAGGCGCGTCCTTTTCCTGCCGAGTTTTCGCGTTTGGCCGGGTCCGAGCAGATGGCCGTGCTAGATGGGTGTTCAATGTGCCAGTGTCGTGGTGGACATGGCTGGTGCCAGCGAACTTGATCGTTTGGTATTTGGGTGTGTTTGTTCAACTTGCGGATTGGTGTATCACTTAGGACTTATGGATCTGTAGCCCCGAATAGAAAGGACACTCACACACTCTTCACGACACTCTTCACGTGTTGGTCTCTACCACCACCACCAGCCTCTGGTTTCATAAGAAAAACACTTATGCCTCCCTCCCCCGGCCATCCAAACCTCAAAATCCCGACCTCGCACGGGCGGTTCCAGCGGTTCGCGATGCCGTGGGCGATGCCCGTCCGTTGAGCGAGTTGGTGGTGCCCCCGACCTCCGTCGTCCGTTCAGGGTGAAGCAGTACTTCCGGAATGCGGCCAAGAACTTGGAGTTCAACGTGAAGCCATGGTGGGGCAGACCCAGAAAGAGAGAACAGAAAAATGCCCAACCCATCGACTCATGTGCTAAGCTGCAGCTGCATGTGGACATTTGCTGCTAAAACTATATGATGTGCTGCCATGACGTTGGAGCCGGTGGAGCCTTAAGGGGGTTGGTGTTGGAATGGATGTGTTTGGGAGCGAAGAAGGGTTCGCACTTAATGGGAGGTCTAAGAGCCACCGCTTGGGTCACGGAAAAGAGTGATGGAGCCTGGAGGAGTTGGTTTTGGACTCTGTATAGTACCGGAAGTGTGCACGTTGTGCAGAGTTCTTCCTTGAAGCTCAGCCATTTTTAACAAGAACATTGCAAGAGTAGTGTTCAAGAGAGCAAGTTATCAGCCCCAACTAAGACACAATGTGAGGGTAATAGATGCTTACTTGCCATTGCCATGTTGGGAGCACGGGCCATGTACTTTGCAGCCCTGGACCTTTCAGAGAAAAGGGACACATACTGGTTGCAGGATGAGGTTCACCGTGTTGGTCTTAGCTTTTCAAGCCAGGGGAGTAAAACGAGCTGGTTTTCCAGGCAAGAGCTGGTGGAGGAGTATTGCGACCACGTCTTTGCATCACTCTTCCAGGCCAGCCAGGGTCGGGGCCATCGAGTCTCGTCTCCTCTCATCTCGTCTGGCCGCGTCTCGGCTGGGCCGGAAGAGTCGGCCATCTTCTCGAACTCTCCTGTGGTTTGCCGGGCGGCTTTTCCTTGAGAAAGGCACTTCAGAGGATCATGAAACTCGGTTGCTTCGGATCCTGTCCACCGAGTTTCATTTGAGACCGTCCCCCGGCCGTAGAGTCTCTCTCTCTCTCTCTCAACCGCACCGAATTTTCCATAGTGCCTTCAATCTTGGGGTTGGGGTTCTGAACTCTGCTTTGTTCTGTGGAGCTTTGCTGGTTTCGCAGGCGCTCAAGGAACGCCCGTGGCTGACACAGGTGGATTTTCTCATGGTGCCTCGCCGTGTGGCGTTGAGAGGGCGTTGGGAGGGTGATGATGTGAACCCAGCACCGGGTTTGTTTGAACCGACCTAGGACGTTTGCTTCTGGATCTTGTTGGATTGACATGGATCATTTGTCTCGATTTTGGGCCCGACGCGGAGAGAGGAATTAAACGAGGTGGGTGTCCTTGTGGTTCTCCCATTAGAGAAGACAGTTCTCTTCAACCTGCCAGACAACTTGCGAGAAATCACTCATTCTCAGTCAACCTCTGGGTGGCCACACATTGCTGCAGTACTCTGCAGGAGAGATTGAGAGATCGTTCAGATCCAATTCGCTATCTACAAACTTTTTCTATTCTTACTACTACTTGTTCGCGTGATATCCCTGTCAAGATGGGTGTTCGCTATTCTTGTGTAGTCATGTACTTACATTGGGAAAGATTCCACGTCTGGGTCGAGGACATGACCCCGGACCCTCCAGACGCGGTCGCAGTCCAGGTGGTCGATGCTGGGGTCAAGGAGCTTTTTCCTCCTTACCTCCTGCAGCATGTTTGGGCAGCTCAGTGAAAGTCATTGTGTGTTTGGAAGTCATCCAAGTCATTTGGATCAAGTGGATGGACTCTTTGAGGAGAAGATTTGGATTCGCCACCTGGGATGGTTTCGTCCCAGCACCCGAGTCTCAGCATTGTGCCCTCTTCTTTTGGTGGTCTGTCTTAGTGGTCTTTGGTGGGGGCGTGTCAAGAAGGGGGGTGAAGAGAAAGGGGAAGGGATGTGATGAAGCTAGCAATTTTAGGACAACTTGAAGCGGCCTTGGCAAGCCTTTTCAGGCAAGCCTTTTCTAGTTGCGTTTTTGTCCTTCAGGTGCCCCAGCTGGTCTTCGAGCAGCAGGCCTGGCGTTTTTGGAAACATACTCCACAGCCTTTGAGTATATAACTTGGAGGTTGGCACTTGGAGTAACATGTCCAGATTTCTCCAATGAATTCCTGTGATGAACTTGTTTAGCCTGCTGTAGAGATGTCATGAGATGTCCAGTTGAGCTTTGGGCAGCCCTTTTGCAGCATGGCAGCCCGTGCCCTTGTGAAACCAACTGCATCCAAAGGTATCAACCATAATATTTTTCCTTCAAACATGGCAAATTCCAAGTGACTGAGTGCGTTCGGGTTCTGGGTATTGTTGACTTCAACCTGCGGTTTGATACCCCGCAGGTTCTCAGTGCGCACGATCGTGCCTTCGAGGCACGAATGAAGGGTTTTCTCTGGTTCGTGGGACAGGACCGAGGCCATCGGACTGGATCGATGCTCAACAGGAGACTCTAGGAGTCGGGAAGTCGGAGGCCATGGCTCTTAGCTCAACAGAACTTCTTGAGGAGTCTGGTCAGCTTCAAATGTGTTTTACAGGCCATCTTTATTAAGTTGAGGAAGGTTCGGCAGGAAGCCTCTCAAAAGTCGGCCACCTTTTCTCTACCCTGCAGAAGGGACATAGATGAGCTTTTGCTCCAAAGGTCAATAGGAGTGTCTAGTGCCATGTCAGCCTGAGTTCATTGATTGTCCTTAGGTCACTTAGATTGGCCATAGTTCCTCAAGCGGTGGAGAAGGGGTTGCTTGACTGAGACATCGGACCAGAGAACCCAGAGCCAATGAATGGCGCCTTTCATTTTCGGAAAAAAAAAGGCGGAATTCCTGCATATTTGTATGGCCATGGAATGACATGGCAAACGAAACGTGGGATCAAACCTTCGAACACGTGGCACCCTTGTTCCTCGCGTTTTGAAGCACGTCTTGCAGGTTTTTAGCGTCCTCGGTCGCTTCGATCTTCAGCGTCCTCAAAGCGCCGCCAGGAGCAGCGCTTTGCGCCGATGCTCTGGGACACCCTCTTCGAACGGGTCCCGGGGGGAGGGTTTCTGACGGATCTGTTCTGCGACTCGCGATGATGGAGGGTTTGACACGAAGAGGTGATATGTTGATCCCATTTCAAGGTGAAGCAAGGTGAGGATTTGTTTATGAGAATCGATCTTTGTGCGAAAGCTGTAGAGCCTCGAAAGGTGAGAAGATATGTGGTCCGAAAGGTTCAGACATGCAGAGCACGGGAAAGAGCGAAGCTTCCCTGGGCACCGCTTTTGGTGCAGAAAAGTGAGTTCCTGTAAGAAAAAGGCGCATTTGTTCTCTGGCATCCAGATGTTTGTGCAAGATTGGCCTGGTCACTGGCGGTTAGATCGTTCTTTTTTTCTCATATTCAAAGAGGCTCGGTGACTGAAGACTAGCCATGATGTCCCTGCATGATCTGACTGGATGATATTTCTCCTGCTGTAAATTCTTACTACGCTGGCCAATCGATCGACAGCACCCACTTTGCGGGGTCTCAGGCTTTTGGGCCCAGAAAAGAGCGCCACTTCTGCAAACCATCTCATCGTGCCAGATAGAAGACAAGGCTCAAAAGAGTCGCATCTACAACGCTTTGGAGGCGAGTGGGTGCCTCACTCGCTTTCGAGTGGGCGTCTCCCACAGGGTCCCCGAAGTGCCCAGAACACGGAAAGTTCGGTGAGAAAGAACGTTGTGTCAGAGGGAGAGGGAAAATCCAACGGGTTCGAGCGACGATTTAGCAGCATGGTGCCGCTTTTTGAAGACCGAAGACCTGTCCAAATTGTGGCTGTACTGGATCTTTTCATTGACCTGTCTCCGCGATGTGGCGAGCTACTCGTGGCGAGCTACACGCCACAGGCCGCTCGAAAAGAAGCCGCCATGATGAGTGGCGAGGCGAACGCAGTACCTTTGGTCCAAAGGGACTGGAGACTGGGTGTGTCTGCGGTCTTTGGGAAAGACTTTCATGGAAAAGTCCTTGTGAAGACAGTCCTACAGTCCTACCATGTGACCATGTCCTACCTGTGTATCATGGAAAAGTCACCCAGAAAAGGCTCAGTTTCTGAGCCAGCTGAGCGACACTCCCGATCCCAAACCATGTGTTGTTTGTTCACCACCGACGTGCCACCGAGGTCCCTGTTTGGGGCCTGACCTCCCCACCCCCCCAAACCACCCGCTGCGCCGGCCGAACGAGGTCGAGAACTTTCTCAAGGCCTGGGTGGCCTGTTCTCTTCGGGAGATGCTGTCCCAAAGCCCCGCGGCCGAGTTTCAGTGGGGGCGCTGGCCCGGGTGTTTTGGAAAGAGGGCCTGGAGCCAATGGGTCTCCCCCCCACTGGACGCGTCGAAAGAAAGCGATCCGAACCTCTTCAAAGAACGGTGAAATCTGTGGCTCTATGCTGGTTTTGTTGGGCGGTCTCCCTACAGGTTTCAAGGAATTTTCCCCTTCTTGCATTTGGCACTCAAATCTTGACTTCATGGCTTTGTTCCTTTTTGTGAATGCAGGCATACAAGGGTTCTGAGTGCTGTGTCTAGCTTCCAGGGAGTTGCGCCAATGGAATATGGGAGGTGGAGGGATAGCTACTCTGCAGTTTAGCTTTGTAGCTCACTGTTCTCTACTGTTCTTTTCCCAATCTCAAACATGCCAAGAACCTTCACCCGCTCCTGGAGCACAACTGTGGTTGCGAACAGCTCTTAGGCAAAGTGCCCTTGGAGCAAGATTTACCGCCCGACACTTGGCCATGGCTTTGCTTTTTCCACATATATGCGGCAACTCACCCGAAAAATCGGCTTGACGGAGACTGCAATTTGCACGCCCCAAAAGTCGCCGAACGTGAAAGGGGCTTGACGCCCAGAAGGCCAAACTCGCCTGAGGGTTTCTGGAAAAACCTTTGTGCGATTCGCCTCCTTTTGCCTTGGTGAGGCCAGAGCTCTGCCGGGACATCTTCCATGCCCTCATTGAAGCACCACACTCAGAGCTCGTGGGAACTTCACAGATCGGTTGGATGATGTTGGATGGTTGTTTTTCATCCAACGATGCATGATCCGTAACCATTCTCTTAAGATCCATGATCATACCACAAGGTTCCACATAAAACGGGAAAATACTACCCATGGGATACAAATCCATGATCCAACAGAACTCCATTTTCCGAGCTCCTCCGGTCTACACGGAGGCGACCTGGATTTTCCACCCGCATTTCAGTGCCTAAGGCCGGAGCGTTGCCTTTGCCTCTCACCCAGGAAGGCCAGCTGAGAGAAAAGCGTGGATTGTGGAATAGTGAACTTATTCCATGCCAATAGATTCAATAGAAAAAGACGCATGTTTGGACACAAATTCATGTTTTGGCACAGACTCAAATCCATGTTTTTTGGCCTCTTGTGCATTTAGAAAACAACCAACCAATCCGTCCTTTTTCCAACCTATCACGGATGGCCGAATGCCCTCAAAACAGGTGCATTTCGTGTCCGCCAGGTGTGCCGCCTGAGAGCCTGGTGATCCTTGATCAGGCCATCGAGGAGCCACAGGGGTGGGCGTGATGCCTGGCGGATGCACGAGTCCGAAGCAAGACGAGTCCGAAGCGTCCGAAGCTGTGGAAAGCTCTGCACGGGACGTTTTTCGTGGACAACGCCACGGAGTGATGTTCTGAGAATCAGTTGATTTGGTTGTTGGAGGTCAGTGAAGGGGATGTGGATGCAGGTTCAGAAGAGAATTCATCATAGATGTTAATATCACTAGCTAGACGACATTCTTGCTGCAAGATGTTGATTTTTTTCCAATGTCTTCGCCATTTTTTTCCCGGAGCTCTTGGGTCCCTCCTTGGGTGTCACCTCCCAGGTCCCTCCTTTGGGTATCTTTGGTGATCTTGGGTGCAAGAGCAGTGTTTGTGTGCGCATATGGCCCCGTCTGGGTGGTAATTACCCCAAAAGGTGTTTGGATGATCCAACGCCCGCACTCAAGTCGCCAGCTCTGCGCTGCCCGACCACCATGAGGATGGCTATGCGGGCAACCTGCCCGTGCCACCCGCACCAACGCCCAAGCCCAAAGGCACGCCTGAAGGGACGAAGACTACCGGTGTTCCTTAATGCAAGAATTGCCTGCCGTTGAGCCATGTAGCTTTGCAGAGCATTCAGCAGTGTCTTCTTGTATTTGATTATTGGGTTCAATCTTCATTTATTTTACTGAGTTGGAAGATATTCTGCGCGAGACATACTGTACATCACTGTAACTTGTTTCAAAACTGCACAACTCAACCCCTTCCCTCATAGCCCCTCCCCACCTCGAGGAAAAACTGCGCCTGCTGCATATCGGCCTCCGACGCAGAATAGTGTCTACAAGGAGCCTTTTGCAGAGATTGAGATTTCAAGAATGATCCCAGATGCCTGCGATTGGCCCCCTTTTTGTTTCTTGTATTTTTTGGTTGTGAGTTATGAGTCATGAGTCATGATTTTTTGTATAAGTTTTGCTTGTATCATTTGTTGCCTGTCAAGTAAACAAGTCATAAGCAGGCAAGCCTTGAACACATGCTTCGCTTTTCTGTGGCTCCAAGCTTGCAAGTTGCAAGACTGTAGCAGGGCAATTTCGCCACGAAGGCATGCCGACACAGTGCCACCAGCCTGGTTGTACCAATTCAATCCGCCACTCAGAGCAACTTCTGCTTAGTGCACAAGTGCAGGTCTTGCAGCAATG